GCTCTGCTGCAGAGGCCGGCTGAGCTGAGCCTCCCCCCGAGGCGGGGGGGCTGGAGGAGCCCCTTCCCCAGCATCCCAGTTGGTGTGTGAGGCAAGTTCCCTAACAAATGACATCCACTGTCTCGCATGTGAAATAGGGGCAAAAAATTTAGAGGTTTTGCTGAGACAGCCTCTCCCACAGGGAGATGTTGAAAGAGGTTGTAGCAGAAGAAACTCTGTCTTGCCAAAATACACTGCATTCATCTAAAGTTTGCGTTGCTGAGGGGCAGCGCGTTCCTAGTGCAGGCCTGGCCTCTGTCTTTGCAGATGTTTGTAACGCTCCCCAATCTTTCAATAAATGTTAAAATTATTTTTAAAATCATAAAAGTACTAATCATTACCAGTATGAGTACATTAATGTTAGGCCCTTTCAGCTGAGTGTTTCTGCGGTAACTGAATACCTACAGTAATACAGCTCCTCATCCCCAGTAGTGTGGGGCTTTTCTGAGTTGCCATCCCTGCCTTTGTGGTTATTTTGTTCAGCCAAGCAGTGGAGCATATACCCGAGTTTCATTTCAGTCAGTGGAACTTCAGCACCCAAAAATTCTATTGAATCACCGTCCAAATGAAGACCAGCCACAACTGTTTGTATTCTGATCCCAAGGTGCCAGGCTATTTATTAAGCAGTTTCACTATCATCCATTCACTACCATGTCTCTTGTTTCGGAGTCTGAGTTGCAAGTGCTGTTTACGCTCCCCATTTATGGCAGTTCCTGGGCTTTTGAGAGATGTTAATATTTTGAAAATCTTGGTCCCTAAAAATTGACCTCCTAGTTCCAATGCTGGTAAATGAATTTTAAAATGGACTATATATCCAGGATACTACCCACTAGCGTACTGACGTCTGTGACTGACAGGACGTGTGTTTGAAGTACTTGGCTTTGCAACTGAACTGCATTTTAATCTTACTTCTGTGGATTTAATTGTAGGCAATTTTGACTAATATATTCTTGCAAGTACTGTACAGTTGATGATGCTTCAACCCTAATTATTTGATTACTTATTCGCAAAACCTTATTATTCTCTGTGAAGGACATTAGTACAAAGGCACATAGTTCAGCTACTGTTTGATTAATTTTATTGGCAACCTGCTGTAATCCAGTTTTTCTTTAATCTTGCAGGAGAGAGTGACTAAACTATCACCGCGTCCCCAAACAGAAGAAGACTTATCTGCCCTCTTTGAGGCTTCCATGAAGCTTTATTAGCTTAAACATTTTGTTCCAAAAAGTGTGCTCTATTCTAACAAAAAGGTAATTTCTTATAGCTATGAGGCTGAAATTGTTTAGAGAATGGAAGAACTTGTGTGTCTTTGACTTCTGTTCCATTGTATGCTGCCAAAAGGTCAAGTAATTCATGTTCGACTAAATAGCACTCTGAAGTAAAGGCTTGACTGTGTTTTTTTTTTCTTGCTCAGTAGTGAGTGGTATTAACTTGTATAAAAGTTGGAGCAATCTTCTCGCTTTACTGAAGGCATTCTTGTGCGTTAGAGGTGGTCAAAGGTGGAAAAAAAAATAAGGGATATTCCAAAATATTTTAGAAATCATGGTTTTTATTGAAATTGTCTGTGATTTTGTTTTAAGAAGTCACACTATTTAAGAAATAATTAGGAGCATTTTTAAATAGGGAAGGGAGTTACCATGTGGAAAATGTCAGCTTGCTGTGTTCTGTTCCACTTTATCATCTTTTTACCATCTGACTTCGCTAAAAAGGCTACCAAACTGGAGTACTTTTTGTTGTTTGATTAAGAAAAAACTTACACACTTCACCCATGTTTGGAAAGGGCTTCCTAAAAGTTTGCTTTGGGTTAAAATTTTGACGCGTGTTTATCTTTCCTTTTAAGATCTATATGAAGTGTTCGTAGGAGGAGCAAAACCAGACTAAAGCATGGTCACACGTTCAACAGGAGCCATGTAACAGCAAGACATCATCCATCATGGTCATTTTGTCTCTGTGGAGGCAGCAGCTCCCTTTTCCTGTGGCGCTCAGTGGAAAGAAGCCATCAACTGTATCTGGCTTCTCTGTGAAGCAATTGCTTCCGCTGAGCTCCTGCAGGTGCTGTCACTCAGAGCGCAGCCACCGCTTGAGGAAGTGGTTCAATATTAAAAAGTGGTGGTGTAGCATATGGCTGCACAGTGCCCCGCAGGGAGCGCAGGTTAAATGTGGGAATGAGTGTGCACATTCAGAGCAGTTAACCAGCTGGTTGACTGTCAACTGAGAAAGGGAGAAATGAAACTAAAATTTTAATACTACTTTTCTTTTTTTAAAAAGCACACGTGGTTGTGTGTACAGTTCATTTAAATCAGATTCTGCTTCATGTAGGACCCTTTCAGCATCTGATTCATCTGACTCATGCAGCTACCACAGCACAAGAAGAACGCAAGAAGGATCCCTTAACTTTTCATGTGCTTGTTTCTTTCTGCTGGAGAGGGAGCACTTTTCAGTCACACTGTTGAAGTAGAGGGCTCTATACTTACACCTTTGCATTCTTGTGTTTGTCTGATAAAACTAGTGCTATCCTAGAATCTGAGGACAGCTGCATACTGGATAGTGACATTGGATCTGGTTTAATGCTCAGTTAAAGTAGGTGGATGGATACTGGTTGAAGAGTGGAGATTTTCTTTTTAACCACAGAATGGGTTTAGTGATCGTAGGGACTGCACTGCCAGTATGCCTCAGCCTGTGCCGGGACACACATTTGATTTCCATGTTCTTCTGAATCTTGTACTCTGCTGAAATTGCCCGCAAGAACCTCTATCACGAAGGCTGATGTAATAGCAAGGGGCAAGGGATTCACTTTATTATATTGTGCAAAGCTACCATGTTTGAAAAAAAACTTTTTGTCAGACCCTTTTGTGTATAATCGTTTGGCCTGTCGGCTGTGTTTGGGGAGAATATACTTTCTGGGGAACTGAACAGCACGTGGGTTTCGTCGCTGCAGTAGAGCACTTTGATGGGCAGGAATGTAGGATATTTCCTTCCAGCACACTTTTTATTTGAAATTTATGACAGTTCTTTCAACTGGCAGAACCTTACATTTAACTTCCTATACCAGGTAACTCAGATCTCTTGCTAGTTTTTAAATTAAGCCTCACACCCTCCTCTGATAAAGTAGGTTTTATCTGTCTTTTATAGATGAGACAAAAGGTTTGATACAACACCTAACCCGCTATAAGCAGATGGTGCTGTAAGAAGGGCTGTCTCGGTTTCCCACACCCCTTTGGCAGCATGAAGGTCTGTGACTGGCTTAAAGTGGTTGTGAAATCCCACTTATGGACATCAGCTACAGAATTATTCTCCCATCACACCAATTATTAGTTACTAGCGCAAGTTTTCTGAGGAGAAATCAAGGAAGCCCAAGCCACCCCACAGTGCTGGCTTTAAAACAGTGATGGTGTGACAGGGAGGCACGCTCTGGCTCTGGGCAGTGGTAGTTTTACTCACAACTGAAGAGTTAACCAGAGTTTGTCATGTATTATCTTGCTAAATTACTCTGTACGGAGACAAACTAGTTGGTCATATAGAATCATAGAGTCATAGAATGGTTTGAGTTGGAAGGGACTTCAAAGATCATCTAGTTCCAACCCCCCTGCCATGGGCAGGGACACCCTCCACTACACCAGGTTGCCCAAAGCCTCATCCAACCTGGCCTTGAACACTTCCAGGGATGGGGCATCTACAACTTCTCTGGGCAACCTGTTCCAGTCCTTCACCACCCTCTGAGTGAAAAAT